GTAGATTGCCACTGTCCCTCAAGAGAAAGGTATATAACAGCTGTATCTTGCTGGTACTTAGCTACGGAGCAGAAACCTGGAGACTTACAAAGAGGGTTCAGCTTAAATTGAGGACGACGCAGCTAGCAATGGAAAGAAAAATGGTATGTGTAACCTTAAGAGACGAGAAGAGAGCAGAGTGGATCAGGGAACAAACGGGGGTTAAGGATATCATAGTTGAAATAAAGAAGAGGAAATGGACATGGGACGGGCATGTAGCGTGTAGACAGGATAACCGCTGGTCATTAAGAATAACAAACTGGATTCCCAGAGAAGGGAAGCGGGTTAGGGAGAGACAGAAGGTTAGGTGGGCAGATGAGATTAAGAAGTTTGCGGGTATAAATTGGCAGCAGCAAGCACAGTACTGGGTTAACTGGCGGAACATGGGAGAGGTCTTTGTCCTGCAGTGGACGTAGCCAGGCTGATGATGATGATGATGATGATGATGATTTTATAGATTATGAGTAGTGGCGGCTGAAGAGTACCCGTCACGTTTGGCAACATGGCTGTTGGAATCGCTAAACGGGAGCGCGCTGCATCGCGATCGCTGCCGTGTGCAACGCTAACATTACGCCCCGAAGCTGATTGGTAGCAAGCCTCTACTCTGCTCGCTATAGAATTAAGATGCCAGAGGGAAGCAGAAAGAAACAGAGCTGAGCAGCCATATATTAAAGCTACACATATCCGTCCATGAATACACAGACAAGCTCAAGCAACTGACCACAGACCGCATTTTTCATGCCTGTCGCTTTGGCTCAAGTTGAGAGTCGGCATTAGACTTCAGACTTTAACAGCGCCTGTTCAAAACACAGGCAACAATCGCAGAAATTGTGCAGCATGTGGAGCTGTTGTTGTCTATTTCACGATGATTTTATTGTTCAAGCTCTCAAATGGTGAAATCACCTGCACCAATTCACCAATTCCTCATTTTTTGACACCTGCTTTTTCTCGGTGACCACACTTGTCAGGCTTTGCAAAGGGAATGAATGATGACCTATATCCCTGGAAGCAGTCTAGTGACATTTTGTGCTATTTAGTGCATGAACTCTAGGTTTGCGCATAATGTGCAATACCACTAGAGTGTAGCAAGCATCGGGGAACATTAGGCACCCAACCTTTTAATATTAGCTCCTGGCAAAGGCTTCTCTCGAAAATTTACTTTCAGTTAGTCAAAAAAGCAACTCTCAATCTAGCAAACGCCACGGTGACAAAACCATCTTCCGCAGATTACTTGCATGAGCTATCTGGTATCAGCCTAGTAGTCGCGATCGACTCAAACTTTTTAAATGAGCTCAGTGCCCAGAACAAGTGCTTCACGATTCTCGTTTCCAAGTTTCCATTGCACCTTAAACTTTGTGATTACAGCCGAAAGCCGAGCCGTATAGCAGCTTCGAATGCAGCCGCGGCATTCGTTTCCGCGACAGAAGACGCGGCGACATCCTTACTTCAGTTGCGGCGCCTGGCGGCGAAATGCCGCACTAGCACCGACGACTGCTTCCCATTGAAATCCGCTCCTTCGCCCGGGCACTTAAAAAATAGAGGCGGCGCTGGTCGGGTTTGTCTGTTTTTCAATTTATTTATTAATTTATTTATTCACTTATTTATTTATTTATCTATCTATCTATCTATCTATCTATCTATCTATCTATCTATCTATCTATCTATTGTACCCTCAGGGTCAGAAGGCATTACCGAGGGGAGTGGGGATACATAACGTATACAAAAAATATCAACGTACAAAGGCAGAAAAATGAAACTACAACGTGGATGGTAAAAGCTTACATCAAGACAAATAATGAGAAGTAGCAGCAAGAGTATAAAAGAACAATTTGGATAAGAAGAAAAAAATTGTACAAGGAGTAACAAACATAAATATATTCACAAAATAGCAATTGTTTTGCGGAACATATTATCTGTTATGTTTGTGATGTCATGGGGAAAGGCCATTCCAAGTGACACAAGTTCTGGGTATGAATGAGTCATGAAAACATTTACGTGTGGGACGACAGAATTCCAGCTTTATTGTGAGGATGAATGCGAGCTGATATATATGAGGGCTTTTTAATTAATTTGTTTTTTTTTAGATAGAGATAGTTGTAGTAAATTTTATGAAAAAGACATAAGGAAGCAACAGACCTGGGATGGAAGAGATGAGAGAGGAACAAACTTGATTTCATAGCGGTTACACTACTTGTTCAGCGATAGTTAGACAGTATTAAATTACAGGCACGACTTTGCACAGCTTTTAACTCTGAAAACTATAAGGAGGAACAGAAAACTGTCCTTAAGAAGAAATGTGGCTGCTTCTAATAAATGGTGGAGGGGCAGGAAATTCACAGGACATGGAACGACCTGCTTCTATCAGCATTGCTAGCATGTTGCTAGCAGCGCATCATCCCGTGTCCTCCTTTTTCTTGGGTTGTGTGTATTTTATTTCGTGTGCCCCTCAATTTTCATGAACACCAACTTGTTCAACTTTTTATTTTGCCGCCTCCGAGTTTTATGCCATTGTTATCTTGCTCAGCTGCCTTTTATACATCGCATGCTCTGGTGAGTGTGGCTTGTGCCTTGTGCTGCGAGCATTTATTGTTACTATTACGAAGCTACAAAACTTTGAGAAGCCTGTTTTCACTGAACTAGTTTAAGATGGAAATATTGGAACATATTGGGTTTTACTCAAAAATGGAGGACCGAAGTTGTAATTCCTCCTTGTGCCATATATGCCTGATGGCCTCTGACAGTGTGTAAACAGATAAGGCTGGCTTATAGTCAGATGTAGCTTAAGAATATACATGCACTGTATTGCAAAAACAAAGGCATCGTTACTGTCAAAACCAACAATATAAGTTTTGGGTAGATCAAGTTAACTTAAACTATTTTTTAGCATGGCAGTGTTGTCCTAATATTAATAGGAAACTATATAGCTACGTTGAACAAAAATAGCTGAAACACTTGATACATTGACAATAACGTAACGCAAAACTCCTTAAAAAGTTGGCTTTCCCCTCATAAATGTTTGGTTTTTCTCACTGAGGGAATCTTTTCCACATGCTGTTCTGAGAGTGGGCGGTGAAATTAGGAGGGCAGTGTCCAGAGTGAGTATAGGCTTTCTTTTGCCATAATGTTTACCCTCCGTGATTTCTCGTTGTTGTGATGCTGGTCTGTTGTACAGGGTTCGCTGTTGTCTGTTGTTCGCTTTTCCGCTCATTTTGTTGGGGATTTTCGCCATCTAAAACTGAAGAACTTGTTCTCCACAAAGCTGGGGATAATCAGTATAGTCGGATGTGGAGAACAGAAGTTTGACATCGTCGCTGTGTACAGCATCCCAAGCAGCACACCGAGTGAGGTATCGAAAACAAGGTCAATATTAGGACCAAGACAGAGTATACACTTTCAGTACCCGACAAGTACACGCAGCTGCATATTAAGCTTTTGAGACAATATTTACATCTATACTGTATTTTCTTGTGTATAACCCACTCCTGGATATCCCCCCACATCTGCAACTACAAATAATGGAAAAAAAACACCACGTTAAAAAAAATTATGCATATTGCCATGAAGGGGTGTTCCTTACAATACCTTGAAGCAGTGCCATGAAGCTATTTTGCATGCCACAATTGCATATAAAATGTAATCATTTCATTAAAAGTTGTATATCGAATTACCCGATGTGCCAAACTAATCCCCAATTTTTTTTTCAACGAGTTCAATATTAGCGGGTGACTGTAGTTCGATGCACTGGCACAGTCAACACAGTTGGTGACTGCTAGCATGCTTCTATGTGGCCGGTGTCAAGATGACTCTTGCCCCGTTTGTGTGCTTATCATGCCAGCTATACAACTGATTGATTGATTTGTCGGGTTTAACGTCCCAAAACCACCATTTGATTATGAGAGACGCCGTAGTGGAGGGCTCCGGAAATTTTGACCACTTGGGGTTCTTTAACGTGCACCCAAATCTGAGTACACGGGCCTACAACATTTCCGCCTTTATCGGAAATGCAGCCGCCACAGCCGGGATTTGATCCCGCGACCTGCGGGTCAGCAGCCGAGTACCTTAGCCACTAGACCACCGTGGCGGGGAGCTATGCAACTGACAATGTATTGTGTGGAGAAACGACTGCAAAAAAACAGACAGCCACATTGTTTAGCGAGTGGTGAGAGTTCGCTGTTCAAAGTAGTATATAGGTTGAGAATCGCTCTGTACATGCTCTAAAGAAAGAAAACAGCAATGGCACATTTCAAACTATAGACAATACGGCATTTTAGTGGGTGTATCAAAGCGTGACGTGATGCTGATGAGACTCACCCGCAATTGTCAAATTTTAAATGAGCCTTTATGGTCCTATTTTTTGTTATATAAGTAATAATTTATGCAAATCATAACCACACTAGTCATACGAGAGTGTTCATCTTGTTAAGATATGTTTCCACTACAGCTATGCAAAAAAATTTTTATTTCTGAACAGAAAGCTTTAAAAGCTACATTTATTCTATGAAATACTTCAGTGGAGTGCTTCCATTTGATGTCGAAGAAGGTTATTGATGCTGTTTGTCTATTTAGTATATTTAACTTGCTAGACAGATAAACTAGTGACACAATGGCTCATATTAATTAGTCATTTTTTGACAATACTGAGAGACAGTGACATTATAGGTACCTCATGTACATGATTGTTGGTCGACCTAGAATCGAAAACTAGTTTCGGTTGTAAAGTCTTTCTGAAAATGATCCCCACATATTTCTGCAAAGCTAGGTAGCTTTTATGCACAGCTTTGGAGCACTGCCCATCTTGGCACTCCAGAATGTTTTTTTTTTTTTTTCAGGAAAACCATAAATAAATTTTCTTTGTGAATTGATCTCTGCTCTTTTTTTTTTCACCGTGCGATTTTAGGGGGTCGACTTACATTCGAGTTGTCTTACAATGGTGTAAATATGGTATTTCCTTTGACTTGCAGGAGAGTGCTTGGCCGTGTTCACACCTGATTTGGCTGTGACATGCTGTGAACTGACCCTGGATGGAAAGGCAGTAATTATGGGCTTGGAGGGATACGATCGTGTCTTCTGTCATCTGCTGCATGAAGGCGAAGGAGACCAGAGCCCATCACAGTCTCGTCCTGCATCAAACACTTATGGCAACGCTAGCAACTGTGGCAAAGTTTTTGATGTCAGCCAACAGGGCTGAGCGTCTGTTCAGCCACTGCCTCTGTTACCAACCCATGGAAGCGGTGTGGGTGCTGGCCAGAGTGAGATAGAGAAATGGCTGGTTCAGTGCAGCTACTTGTTCTGTCTAGCACCAGCTATCATTTTTTCTCATGTCACCCAGTAAGCTACAGGTAAAGCAGAATCTTTAAGTTGGCTTTTTGCAAGCTAACCCTGCCTATACACATGCATCTCACACACTTGCATAGGCTGTAAAAAGAGAGAGCACAAAAAGGGCAAACCTGAAGATATCAGTGATCATAAAGAATCTGTAGCAAATATTCATATATTAGGAAAGATGTGTTTACTTTAATACAAAAACTATTTGCGCATCGATTCAGCCAGCTTTGAAGCAATCCGCCTGCATGTCACTGCAGCAGCATTCTTTGTCACAAAGCAGTTGACGCTGCTAAATATTTGAGAGTAACCTCACCTATTCATTTGAATGTTGATCAAAACATACATCTACTGTATTAGTGCAGTCAGTATTAACACGGTAAATATGGTACACTAAAGAGGTACAGACATATGGTTATTTTAAAAGAATTGTGCATGCAAGTCAAGTATTTTATTTTCTAAACTCAGCCTCCTCCATATCTTTAAAATGTTTATATATATATATATATATATATATATATATATATATATATATATATATATATATATATATTTAAGGCAGATCAAGTTAGAAGGAGCAGACCAGGATACAGATAAAGTAAAAACGGTATACGCAGGGACAAGCCTTTTGTCTCTAACTTGTCATCATCATGTCACAGCCTAAAAACAACTAGCTTTAAGAGGCATTCACACGGGAGAGAAATCTGCCTCCTTGTTATAAGAAAAGTGCTCCACAAGATCATTACGTCACGCAGCCGTCAAACAGAGCAGCTTTGCTAAACTTTCCATGGGGACGAAGGAGCATTAGTTTGAGATCTAGAAAAGGTACCTCATCCGGTGAAAAGTGCAACTCCCAACATTTATCTGTGCAACTGCTCGGCAGCAGCGCATGACACTGGTGCTTGCAGGGGAGAAAAAGGAGGCTCACCGTAAATTACATTGTGGACATCTTCACCCATTATCCCAGGGAGGAGTCCTTGGAAGGACCTTATTGAAGGATCTTCTAAGAAAGATACAGGTTTATAAGACAAGTACAGTACTCACAAATTTAAACATGATATCGTTTTTTGTTTTTGATGTCACTGAAGTATGGCCACTAAAAGTAATGTTCACTTTGATGTCAGTGTTCCAAGTCAAAATCATGCTGATATTTCATTTCATTTCATTTATTACACCTTAAGGGCCTGCAAGCATTGCATGAAAGCAAAGCACAAGGGCATGAAGCATTGCATACGCAGGTTTCTAAACATTATAATACAATAATTGGTAACAAATCAAATCAAACAAAATAAAAACAAAATGTAGCATCGGGTACGTACATCGGGAAAAACTCAATATCCTTTGGTAGGCGCATATTAGAAAATATAGAAGATGCACAGGTTTCGCAAAAATAATATATACTACGAACTGTAGATGCTAGAAACAAAAAGACATTTATTGCTTTGCCATAAATTTTTTGCACTTAAATTCTCGAGTACTGCTACTCCAGCAGGCATCCAGTTTTCCAGTAGTGTATTGCTTGGCAGCGTTTTGCCAGACAGCTATGCTTTATGTAAAAGAATGAAAATAAGTCTGCGAGAACTCTTTCCTATGGCCACCAATTTTTTCCTGATAGTATAGAACCAGAAGAAATGTAAAAAAAGAATATTAGAATGAGTCTGAAAAAAATTCTTGAGATCTTGATACTGAAAATGATTACATTCACTGTTCACTCAGTGATGTCACCATTATGCTTAGCAGTGAAGCAGCATGAAAAGACAACAATCTACCACATGAAATGTAGCTAGTTTCATTGTTTACAATGGCAGTGTTAAATTATATAAAATATGTAGAGTTTAAAAATTAACACTCCATGACAAAGTTTGAATCACCAATATACAATACACCCCCTACTAAAGCCATGGCAATGCCACTATCAAGACCAAATAAAAAGAGAAGCAACTGCAGGGACACAGTCCATATTTATAAGGCGGAAGCTTTAGATGCCTACGCGAAATTCGACCATCGGCATCGACGCGGTGCAGCGTCTGGGATAAGTGATGCTAAAAGTCATTATCAAGATATGATGTCGCCATATGATGTCACAATGACATCACAGATCGTCAAATTTTATGACATCATTATGACATCGCCTGGTGCAATGTCACATGATGACCTGATTAGATCGCGTCATAGCTCAGTCAGAGTTGATCCCATCACAGATGCAATGCAGAACGAGGTGAGGTGCCTCCGATCTTGGAAGCAGTGCCCAACCCTGTTAGGTGCGGATAAAGTTTTCCAAGGAGGGCTATGTTGCATCAATACATCAGCTGAGAGGGAAAAGAAGATGACTTTCACCTTCAAGTTCATTTTAAGTTAATGCATTGTGGATCTTCTAAGGTTTTTGGGAGGTGGGGAGGTTGAACATTCCAAGCTCTTCACCCCCCCCCCCCCTCAGGCTTTGTCTATGAGCAACCGGTATGTCAATCATAATGTAGTGCAGTGCAAAAAGCAGACAACAAATGAGCGAGGAGACGAAGACCCCTCGCTCGTTTTTTGTCTGCTTTTTGCACTGCACTACATTATGGTTGACTTTCTCCAACTCGCCCAACAAGCAACATTGCAACTGATATGGTTTGTTTAATGATTGGTACGTGAGCATGGGTATGGGCTGCTACTCTTGCTTCTACTTATAGTACCTTTCTTTAATTCAGTAAAATTATCCTCCCGAGCTATTTTCTGAAATTGTGTATGTATGTCATTTTTTGGACTGGAAATGTACCTATACAAATGTAAACCTAAGCATCTTCTCATAAAGTGAAATCACAGTGTTTTAGTTTTAAAGTCTGTATGTCTGTACCTCTTTAAGTCGCTTTTTTATTGCATATTTTATGGCAGAAATGAAGACATCTTGATACATTTTACAGGTATTCAATTATTTTAATGCCAGATCAACATCGTGTTCCTAAAGGTCCTATGTAAGTTGATGCAGTGTTACTGTTTATAAAATGCCTTCTGTATCCACCAATATCTCAGAAGCCCATACAGTAAGGTGCCAGTGGTAACTCGGTTGTTTACCCAGGAGCAGTTATGCACATCCTAGCTTTTGAAGTATAGTGCCATGTGTGTTATGATGTGTGAAGTTGGAATAACATGAGAGATGTTTGTTGCTTAGACTTGTAGAACAAATGCAATAGGCTGTGCAAACTGTTGAAAGTGACTTGTGCAGCTGTTCACAGAAGTTTTCATAACATTGAAGCAATGACAAGTTCACTTGACATGTGGTCGGGTCACATAAAAAGATTTAGTTGTTTTCACCTGTGAACACAAAATACACTTTTCAATATGTAGCTGTATGCCAATACTGCGAGCAATTCTGAAGTTTTAGAAGTATGGATCCAAAACCTTCTAAATCCTTCTCACACTTTTTGTATTCTTTTGTATGATTGGCAACAGTGTTTCCTAACTTTGGGTCCCTATTTTAAAAGCTTCTTCTTTATTTTTATGAACTCTGTGATCCAAAAGCTTGTGTGACCAGCTGTGCCATGTATGTGAATGCACTTTGTAACAGGCAGGGCCCATAAACAGGACCAGTATTCACAGGACTTCAGTCACGTAACTGATTCTTTTCTGGCTGGCATTTGGGCAACTGCAACTCACAATAGCCACCTGTGTGGTAAACAGCCATCATGTAGGCAGCCATCTACAAGCAGAGTATATGTGAAAGAAGTTCTGTGAACAAGATTCAGGTCTGCAGCTCAGAAAAAATATGCATTGCATGACTCGTTTCAGCATAAAAACAACCAGAATCTCGCTTTTGTTGTTACCTCAGAGAATCGCACTGGTGCATTGCTGGTGTTTTCTTATTGTAGAAGCATTACTGTGTTCTGTGCAAGTGGCTTTTGTATTTCAAGCCTTTGCCAATTTTGTGTAATGCCAAACATGCTGCAGCTTCAGTCATCAAAAAACTGCCCTTAACATCTACTATACATATAAACTTTCTCAGATGCAAATATTTTGATGCATGGTTAAGTGTCTACTGTCTTTTTAAAGACTGCCAATTTTGTCCACTTACGAAGTGGTGGCAAAGCTCATTGAGAGGTGCTTTTACAGGAGCCCTTGTGCACTTGCATCTGCTGCTCAAGGTACTCTCCCAGAAGCAGTCAAGAAGCACATCCACGTTATTGACAACTGTGCAGGTCAGCCATTAAAATATTCTTTTCATAGTGCAGCTTATTGTGATTGAAGACTCTTGGGGGATGAGCTCTTCAGGAAAACCCAATGTCACGTATCTCTCTTTCAATGTGCCCCTTTTCTAGTAGGCTGAGGTGTATGAATTCGAAATGTTATATAAAGCATAGAAGTCATCTCTTTCGTCCGCTTGTATTTCGGTAGCGCATAAAAAGTGTCTCGCATATGATTGTATTCAAGCTGAGGAATTCATGTACTGAAATTTTTCCACTACATTTTTTTTTTCATTCAAAAAAAAAAGGAAGGTCATCTATCAAGTAAAATGCCCATTCTCTATAGAATTAGATGTAGGCAGGTATTACATTGTGACTTGATTTCTTATGATCTCATACTTGTGCATCACAACTGAAGATTGACATGTTGTGATTTACCATCTTTAAGTTTTGAGACCTCTTGTGAATAGCTGCCGCATTGTATAGCCTAAAAAGCAAAAATGCTTCATATGGTAGTTGAAGGCAATCATTTCCTTTATAATCCCACCCTCTCTGGTTGTTTTATGCCTTGAAATGTATATCCAACATATGAGGCACAGCCAAATGAGCCATAAAGAACACATCCAAGCAAAAGTCACACATTTCATTGCCGAGGCAGTGCAGAATAGTTGTTCTATTGCTACACGCTTGTGAACAGAGTTCCACAGCAGTGGGAAATGGGGCATAGATTTGTTACTTGATTTTTTTGGCATTTAATTGCATTCTTAATGCATTGATACAGAACATAACTACAAAAAGGAAGTGGTTTAAAGTTCAAAGAAAATACAAATGATCTGAAAGCTTCATGTATATTGCTAGTCGTAGGTATAAAGAATGTTTTCTGGGCATTTACGTGCAATATTCTTTTATTTAATATGCAAATTCATGAGCACCAGTGAAAGTTCAATGTTAGCTTCATTTTCGGGCTATTAACGTCATTTTATATTTCAGCACAGTGGAAGGAGCATTCACATGTGACCTATGCCAACCCAACTTTTCAAATTGAGCTTGACAAAAGAAAACAAAGTATTTTTAGCTAGCCTTTGATGCAGAAAAAAGTTTCAATGTCTTAAGGGGGCCCTGCAAAATTTTTTTTTAGTGCCCCCTGCAGCACAGGAGTATGTTTTGTACTGAATACGAAGATGGGTTTGAAAATGATTATAAGACATGATGCATAGAAATTATAGTTATTAGTTTTCAAAGTCCAAAACCCAAGCAGTTGACTTGAGGAAGCCCCTCTCGCATTTCACACTCCTAGTGATGTCTCTGGTTGCCTCCAATCACAGCGAGCCTATTATATAG